TAATAAGAGAACTAAATTTCATAGTTGCGGAGCAAGCGGAGCATATACCGCAACAACAGGCACTCTCGCATTGTGCGTGCGTGCAGAATTATTCTGGCTTAACTACGGAGCATACGAGACGCTCAGATAGATCAAATGGCTCCTGCCGGGGTGTAGGCAATAATTGGAAAACTCGATTATACGAACAGCTCGAAAAGATATTCTCGGAAAACTTTAATGATGGAAAAATGTCTTACCCGGGGATCGAACCGGGGACCTATGTAAAATTCAATGATTGAGTCCATGGACGTGAACTCAGTGAGCTCCGCCCTTTCGTCACGGAGGCCTAGTAAGAAAACTATAACAAAATTTCCAATGAGAAAATCATAACAAAATTTCTAATAAGAAGATTATCGCTCACCAAGGTGTCCCGCTAGTGCCACACAAGCTGCCCATAACCCCGACAGGCCTCCATGCTGTTGAGCGGCAGCGATGCGATATCTAATTTGGAGTATTTCTCAGCGAATCTCAGAGTGAACTTACAAAACTATGGAGGCTGGAGTAGTCCTATAGTGTCCATCGTAGTATCTAGTAAGGACCAACATGAATAACGAAGCTAGGCACCAGTGTTGGAGTAGGAATATATGTTTGCTTTCCTCAGCTACTGAGCTCAGGGGTGAACACAGTGTTGGAGTAGGAATATATGTTTGCTTTCCTCAGCTACTGAGCTCAGGAGCGAACACAGTGTTGAAGTAGGAATATATGTTTGCTTTCCTCAGCTACTGAGCTCAGGAGTGAACACAGTGTTGGAGTAGGAATATATGTCTGCTTTCCTCAGCTACTGAGCTCAGGAGTGAACACAGTGTTGGAGTAGGAATATATGTTCCCTTTCCTCAGCTACTGAGCTCAGGAGTGAACACAGTGTTGGAGTAGGAATATATGTTTGCTTTCCTCAGCTACTGAGCTCAGGAGTGAACACAGTGTTGGAGTAGGAATATATGTTTGCTTTCCTCAGCTACTGAGCTCAGGAGTGAACACAGTGTTGGAGTAGGAATATATGTTTGCTTTCCTCAGCTACTGAGCTCAGGAGTGAACACAGTGTTGGAGTAGGAATATATGTTTGCTTTCCTCAGCTACTGAGCTCAGGAGTGAACACAGTGTTGGAGTAGGAATATATGTTTGCTTTCCTCAGCTACTGAGCTCAGGAGTGAACACAGTGTTGGAGTAGGAATATATGTTTGCTTTCCTCAGCTACTGAGCTTAGGAGTGAACACAGTGTTGGAGTAGGAATATATGTTTGCTTTCCTCAGCTACTGAGCTCAGGAGTGAACACAGTGTTGGAGTAGGAATATATGTTTGCTTTCCTCATCTACTGAGCTTAGGAGTGAACACAGTGTTGGAGTAGGAATATATGTTTGCTTTCCTCAGCTGAGCTTAGTAGTTTTCTCACAACATCGTGATAATATAAACACAAATTATTATATACAAAAAACAACAATAATTTCCTCTCAGAATTCTCATATTGTCACCAACACATGTAGTTGACCATGCGCATATTTTCCACACTGATTTTGTTACTTTTGAAATTTCACCCCGTCCCCGTGAAGTGGCGTAATACTCTGTGAAAACCTAATATTCGCGGTGATATACAATAGTCGTGAAATATGTCTTTTACATCACTAGGGTGAAACTCCATTATAATATTCCCCTTACACGCCCTTCATCGCCTCCCTTTGATAGAGCAATTCAAGTCGGCGTTGCTTTGCATTCGGAGAACGTCCACTTCTACTCCGCGTTCGTTTTCTCGACTGTTGTCCTTGACAAAATGCAATATAAACATTTCACAAAACTCAGTTTTTCACTTTACCAAATTCGCTGTCATCATCATCATCATCAAAGTCATCAGCCAGGAGCTCTCTCCGGTTTGGTGATCCATCGCTCATAGAGCCGATATCAGAACCTAGAAGTGTGAATTCGATATGATGCAAACGTGTGTGATTTTTTCCGATATATTACGACTATATCGCATAAACAATATAAACATTGCTATGAACATGTGATGTGATAAAAGTAACCTTTCGAGACTATGATAGCGACAAGTTGTTCACTATCATTAAAGTTTCACTCGTGATATGAAAAAACAATTGTGTTATCGGTCGCGGAAACATATACGTGGAGTATTACGTCACTTCACGTTAAATGGGTGAAATTCCACCAATTTCGGAATAAATAACGCATATACACACTATCGTTTGCTCACCTTCATCATCATCTTCATTAGGCTCGGGTGGAATGCCAGTGTTACCAAGCCTGAGGCGGAAAAATTATGGTAAAAAAATCCTCAAAATTTTCCAAAAATTTTCTGTGACTCTATCGCTTATCCGATAGACATATGTAACCAACTCTCGCTGCTCGAGTTCACCCTAGTGATATGAAAAAAAACACTAGTGGGAAAAATATATTTTACGACTACTGCATATCACCGCGAATATCGAGTTTTTCACAGAGTATTACTTCATGTAAAACGGGTTGTGAAACTCCAATGAAACCGACATCATTTTCGAAGTCACTCGATTACTTCGTGTTTTAATATCAAACCCTCATATACACAATATATTCCATTAGTGATATTATTGATAATTATATGATATTTAACCATTACGTGTCGGACGCACGGCATGAGCCAGTATGAATGTCCTCAGGAACAAATCCTGAGGCAATCAATAGGTTTTGCATCCTTTTTGCTTACCATTATTTATATAATGTTAACAATTTATTACTATTAATCTATAATAAAGTTTCACCCGTTTTACGTAAAGTGGCGTAAAACTCCGAGAAAAACGTGGTATTTGCGCCTGGCAGTAGTCGTGAAATATGTTTTTCACTAGTGTTTTTCATATCACTAGGGTGAAACTCCAATATTATTTTTTATGTCATGCGTTACCACAAATCACAACATCATTGGAGTTTCACCCGTAATATAAAATTCACTTCGTGAGAACACTCGGCGAAATATGCTCGTTTCTCGAGTGTAATTCGCCAAACTTCATATCGCGTTATTCACACAGGGTACTACCCCCCTTCACATAAAACTCCAACGATGTAAATTTATCACCGGAAAAATTTCCCCACTTACCCCAAACGGTCATCATCGATAATTATAACACGATTTTGTTTCTCGTATATGTTGTTGAGGTGAATCGGCCTGACAAAACACATTTTCAAATATCACTGCCATACGAACTCAAACTTGCATCGAAAGTACCTGTTGGGAAACGCATCGGTCAATTATTCGTGTAGTAAACATCTATGGAAAAGATGGAGTTTCACAACCCATTTTACGTGAAGTGGTGAAAAACGCGATATTTTCTGTGACATGCAGTAGTCGTGAAATATATTTTTCACTAGTGTTTTTCATATCACTACGGTGAAACTCCAATGTAAGTATTATTACCGATATAAACTAATAACAATAATAATGATTTATATATTTATTTACCAATTAATATAATAACTAGATATGTATAAACATCACGTGTAGAAGTGCGACGCGCAGTCTTCGTCCTCGCTGAGATGTCGGAGCTAATTCCATCACCCTCTCGATGGTTTTAGTAGGTATGATCATGCGAGTCCCACAGTATCCTTCTGAGGGTCATACCTCTCAAGTTTCTCCTCAATTGGTTTTTCCCCCCAAAAATGTATCAAAATAAAAAGTAAATATATAAGTGCCTATGTATAAATATACGATATGCTAATACAATTAAATAATAACCATATAAGCTATGACTACCGATGACGGCCGCCTCGTGTTTTCGTTACACCAATCATCGTAAAAAGGTCACTTGCATTCTAGAGTTCAAAAAAGCAGCTAAAATTTCATAACTTCGCTCCGCTGTGAATGATTTCCCAGATAAACTCAAATAACAGCTTCACAGTGTTATCGAAGATATGCATATTCTCATTAGTGTTGGAGGAATATATGTTCGCTTTCCTTAGCTGAAAAGCTCAGAAAAGTTTTCAACAATAACTATTGAAATTTACGTAATAAAAAAAACTATTTTCTCATAGTTTTTATATTTTTCACCAACATTTTCCCACATTGTTTGAAATATATATATTCACTTTCCTCACCTCCAGAGTTTCTATACTACACATATAAAATTTTCTCACAATTTTCATATTATCACCAACACGTATATTCACTCACCTATGAGAATCGAATACATAAATAACGAGATCATCAGCGTTGTCGCCGCTAGCCATCAGAGCGCTTTCTTCAAGAATGCCATCTAGATCTTCAAGACAACCACAGCCGATCATAACAATCTGAAAAGTAAATTCAAATTCATGCTTCGCTCCGTCGTTTGTCTGTGGATTTAATTGCAAATTCATACTAGCTTGTAATATCTGTAATACTCAGCACGCATGCACAAAATAAAGAGTTGAGATGTTCACCGTCATTTTAATACAGTAAGAAATCCGTAATGTTATTCACTATGTGAATTCTCAGCGTTCTAATATCGGCAACAGAGTCTAGTCGAAAGAGTTCCGCATTCGAAAATAATAATAACAATGGAGTTTCACCACCCTAGTGATATGAAAAACACTAGTGGAAAACATATTTCACGACTACTACTGCATATCACCGCATTTTCACCGAGTTTTACGCCACTTCACGTAAAACGGGTGGTGAAACTCCAATAATATGATACTATAATATCTATAATGGAGTTTCACCCGTTTTACGGAAGTGGTGTGATACTCCATGTGAAAAACGTGATATGTAGTGAATCAAAAATACTTGTCGAATTACACCGGACGAATCAATCCATATCACGTAACACACATCACGTGTTTTACGCGATATTCACTGCTCACATGCACGAAGTAAAACGCGAAATATATTTTCCACTAGCGTTTCCATGTCACGAATGAAACTCCACTAAATGATCATCATCTAGGTAGT